TATTTTTATTAGTTAACTAGCGGCCCGCCCCTGCTTCGCATGTGTCTAACTATCTCGCTATCAAAGGGTCACTTTTTCCTAATCTTCCCCTCTACTTTTCTAATATTTTCTTTGATAAGAACCTTCTCTTGATAATAACAAACACAACAAAAAAAGAATTAGCAAAATTGGTCCAGGCGTTGTTGAGTTATGCGCTTACCAACACATTTTGCGATCCATTTTTATATATAAGATATATAGATATTAATGCCGTTAAGTAGGATATTAAACAGCTGTGCACCTTCAAACAATATTTTTTTACCGCATCTAGTCTGATCTTGTAGTATTAATATTTATGTATTATAAATAAATATGCAAACAAATTGTAATTACGTATATTAAGATAAAACTACTGATTATTAATTTACATTACATTTAGTACTTAAATATCAAACCACATTATTGATTACTTTAATTGAATTCGAAGTAAAACTTGAACCAAATTAACCTTTAGAGTATGATCTAAAAAAAATCGATACATTTCGTAAAAACCAATTACTTCGTACTGTATACAGCTGCATATCAAGCTTATAAACTCAAAACAATTTATCGTGGTCTTTCGATGTAGGATCTTTCCCTACATTCAAAGGTCAGTTTGTACTGGTTTTATAGCTTGTGTGTACAAGTTCACTTTGAGGAATATTAAATACGATTATAAATCGATAAATACGTTTATTATTTAGTCGATAATATTTGGCAAAACTTAATTAATCACGATTCGGTTCACTATCACTGCGATCATCGGAAGCCGATCCATATTGTAAGGTCATGTTAGTGTAGGGTGACTGTGCGATTGGTTTTTATTTAAAGAACTTGAAATGAAAATGTATTTTATTTTATTTTAATCAATTTATTTATTATTCCGTGTAAGCGCCCCCCTTTCAGCTGTTTTTTCCTTTTGTTTGTTTTTGCCACGAATGGTTTTGCTTATCGGGCGTGATATAAAGGCCTCATATAAAACCGGAGTGAAACAAATACAGCGTTGTGTTTCGCTGTCTGAGTAAGGTTGCCGGAGTCACAATCCTTCCGCTCCTCTAATCCCTCCCCAATCCCTAACTCCCCTTAATACATATTGTCCATGGGCGGCGCTGATTGCTTACCATCAGCGTCAATCTGTCTGGATTAACTGATCTGATTTGCCGAAGCCGAAGGCTGAAGCCTTCATGTATTTTTTTTCTATTTGAAACAGTATAGTATGAATAAGTCTACAGTATCAAACTGGTATCATCTTATATCATATAAATAATATTGCATTAAATTTGGAAATTTTGCCCTTGACAAACGTAACGGTCGATCTACAATTACATGTTACATTATTCCATTCTTTTATTGTACAATTCGATATGATATAGAATCTTTTGATATAATATACATTTACAATGGTAACAATACACTATGTTTATTATAATGGTAGATCATATGACCTAACGATATCGAGTTTTGAAAATTAATTCAATCTGAGGAATTAAACGATGCTTTTCTTCTGTCTTTTTATTATTATAAGAACCCAACGGGTCAAAATCGGAATACTACGACTAAGGTTCTATTGTCCATCCATCTGTCTGTCTGACACCAAGTTGTATCTAATAATTCATTCAATTCTCTGGCTATCATGGATACGTTACCGATCTTTTAAGGATTAACGTTTTGGAGATTTAGGGATCGGGGGAGAAGAAAGATTGAGCTTCCGGTAACGTTAGTCACACTGCGAAACACAACGTTGTGGTTGTTTCACGCCAGTTTTCTGTGACGCCGTGGTATCACTCCGGTCGTGCCGAAAAACTCCGGTTGAAAATAGTGTCTTAGTAACGTAAATTAATTGAGGGAAACTGCGTCGCTTGCGTGTCGTTGCCACGACGTAAAGAGACACGTAAAGAGTGTAACCGTTGTGTCTTAAACCTAATAGAGCTTTTCTTAGTTAATTCACGTGAGTACGTCGTTGTTTTTAATTTATTTTAGGTGTATACATCTTACGATAGTTGCTATTTAAAAAGGAGGGTTCCCGTACTGCATATTATAGTAGAGACGTAATTTTTGGTACGGAATTTGTCGTGCACGAATCCGACAAGTCAGCCTTTATTACACAACTTTGTATCATCAAAATCATGACATTCTTACTAACACTTGATAGCCTTGATAATGCTCACAAAACAGTTTAACACCATAACAATCAAAATATTATTTTATTTATAAACCCCATAATTATTAAACAATTACCATTATTCACTTCACCATTATGTAATTACTGCGTAATTTATATAAAAGACATAATATATCATATTTCAATTATATAACAAAATTATTATATTTTTATTATGCGTTTTGAACTTGATTTATAAACGCCTGATAATAATTAATAACTTTGTCCTCCAAATTAAATGTGATAATCGCAGTGTTTTCTTGGACTATTATTCATACGTACTTGTGTGGAAGAGCCATGCTTCGGCACGAATGGGTCGGCTCGACCGTAGTGATACCACGGCCTCACAGAAAACCGGCGTGAAACAACCACAGCATTGTATTTCGCCGTGTGAGTGAGGTTACCGGAGGCCCAATCCTTCCCCTCCCCCAATCCCTCCTCAATCCCTAAATCTCCAAATCCCTAATCCCTAAAAGGTCGGCAACGCACTCGTAGTACCTCCGTTGCGGGTGTCCATGGGCGGCGCCGATTGCTTACCATCAGGTCATCCGTCTGCTCGTTTGCCGACCTATTACATAAAAAAAACGTAACAAAATTACGCCTACACTTAGGTACTACTTAATTTAACTGGCTGTAACATATTTAAATTGATACATTAATTTGTTAAATAAATATTAATTTTCATTTATTTGAATGACTCGTCTTTGACTTTAAGGTAGATAGATCAAGTGATCACACACATTATTACTTCTCTTACTCCTTACTAATATTATAAATGCGAAAGTTACGATGTTTGGATGCTTGTTACTCAATCATGCCACAACAGCTGCTGGTCGGATTTGGATGAAATATGGCACAGGCATACACTCCGGAATAAAATATAGGCTACTTTTTATCAACATACCACTCGGGCGAAGCCGTAGGCGGAAGCTAGTCACGGCTATATGAGTAAGGTACTTCTCATATGTTTTATCAGTTTATTTCCAAAAACGTAGTGTATATATACATTAAATACATAATTACTATCTAGTATAATGCAGTTTTACTGAATGCCTTACTCAATAAATTGATTATCAAGTAAAGAAATTGACAAGAGAAATTGTTTAATTATTATTCAATCTAGTAGTTCCAGTGATGAGCGCGTTTAAGCAGACTAACAAGCTTTTCAGGAGTATTCTTTTACCTATATAGTATTCTTTTACCTTTATATATAATTTCTTTTGAGTAACAAAACGTTAAGACAATATCAGGAAATATTCATAAAAAATTTTTTTGTTTGTTATTTATTAAAAAATATACCTAAATGTTATCCCATTATATTTTATCACACACTGTATCGAGTATTATTTTTTTTCCTAATGTACATATTTACATAAAGGTCTGCAGGAATCAATATCAATAGTAGCACATGTAGTACTAAATCTATTTTTATATTTCTTGTCCCGTTCTGTAATTGAGTGGAAATGAATAAACTAATAAATTTGAGAACTACAAATCATATACACCCTACAAGAGAAGCTCTCGTTGGAATTCGTTTGCGGGCAAGGTCGAGTATTGATGCGCGATCGAGACTAAGTGTCCGTATGTACATGCAGTAATACGGCCATTCAAATAGGATTTGTATGTCAAGCTCAATATGTGAGAGGGAACCAAACGTGAGATTTTAAAACATTAATAATATCTATTAAACATTTTAATATAGTACAGAAAAAATTGAAGTGTGGGAGAGCCAAGCTTTGGCACAAATGGGTCACCCTCATGGAAAACCGGCGTGAAACAACCATAGCGTTGTGTTTCGCCGTGTAAGTGAGGTATCCGAAGGCCCAATACTTCCCTTTTCCCAATCCCAAATCCCTAATCCCCAATAGGTCGGCAACGGACTCATAATTCCTCTGTTGTTGCGGGTGTCCATGGGCGGCGCTGTTTGTATATCTTCAGGTAATTTGGCTGCTCGTTAGATCCCTATCACAAAAAAACATTAAAAAAGAATCGTATATTTTAGCTACCTTAGCCCCGAGGGTGCTTCAGAGGTAGCCTTTTTACAGAAACTTGTATCTGTTACAGATGTGCTGATAATGATGATGATGATCACTGGGGAATTTGCCGAGTTATTCTACCTCTGGTCTTTTTTGCTAAATTTTATTCGTTTTCTTACCATCTTCAATAATTATAGCCTACCCAAGATATTGACAATTTTAAATTTAAAGCTTCACTGACGGATTATTATTTATTAATATATTTTTGTAACGTTTGACCATAGGTCAAAGTTTCAAGAAAGTTCCCACTTGTGAGAAAGGAAAAGATCCTCATGTAAAAACCGCTCGCTTTTAATAGTTTAAATCTGAGTATTAAAAGGAATGAAGGTCTTGGATACGTAAACACAACCACAATAAAAACAAGTAGTACGAGCAAGATTAAAAATAAAAAACCTATCATATTACATCCATTTCAATACTTTAAAAATAAGAAATAGTAGTATTATCCGATGGACTATTCATTTATAACTTCAAAGCTTTCATAATATAAGTATGAAAATGCAAAAAAGAAAACATTGATGCAATATTCCACTACCAGAAAATCTACGCTGTCTATAACAACATTACCTAACAAGACACACTACATAAAGCCATCCTCAACAATTAGACAAATCCATCCATGAGTATATAACATAATATTGTTATTATGAAATATCGACCACGACCTAACGATGAAGTAGATCGACCCACACCCACCTATATATACTGTACTGGTACTCAGAGGTTATCAGTTGCAACCACAACTTCTGGGTAGCAAGTTCACTTATTAAAACAAAAAAATTAATAAAGAACAACAATAAAAACTAAAATGAAATTGGTAAGGAATAAAAAATTACAGGGGATTACCTTTGAAATTATGGTTTAAATAATTTGTTAATTGTATTAAATATAACATTATTAAATTATATTTTGATATATTTTATAAATAACTAAGATTTATAATTAAAAGCTACTGTTTTCTTTTAATGTTTTTAAAATGCAAGATTTTATTAAATTATTTTTAAATGACTACTTTTACTGTATACATTATTGTGCACCACAAAGTTACATATGTAAATTGAACAAATAGCTAAATTCTCTCAAGATTACAATATTTACTTTTCAGTTCATCGTATTAGCTGCAGTGGCCTTAGCCCAGGCCGCCAAACTGGACAGGACTTACCTCCCTCCCAACGCCCAGGCATCAGCAGGATCTGCCTTCCTCGAAGCTCCTCGTCAATCCAATGGATTCCAGGAACAAAATGGTGCCTTCTCTAACAACCAAAACGGTGCTTTCTCTAGCAATGGATTCGCTAACCCCGATGCTCAGAGCGACGCTTACTCAAGTTTCGAAGCCCGTCCCGTAGAGCGCGCACAGGCTGCCTTCGAGAGGAACGCTGCTATCCTTCGCCAGGACAACTCCAATGATGGAGAAACCTACGCGTATGCTTATGAGACTGAGAACGGTATCTCCGCCGAGGAGAACGGAGTGGCGACCAACGGAGTGCAGGCTCAGGGCGGATACTCCTACACTGGGGATGATGGCAAGGTCTACTCTGTGAGGTGAGATAATCCAAATAAGTAGTCTATGGTGATTAATTAGTTAGTGCGTTTTGTATCGAGAGCTTAGTCGTAGTATAGAGACCAATGAAATTTATGAATAGTGTTCAAATAACAATCCAAGTGTTTTATGTAACGTTTCTCGGAGCATTTAATATTTACAGTAGACTTTGTATTTAGAAAAGTGATAGGAGTTTCACTAAATGTTTATAATAAACTCGTTTTAAACCTTTCTAGATACACCGCTGACGAGAACGGATTCCAGCCCCAAGGTGACCATCTTCCTACATCTCCTCCAGTCCCCGCTGAAATCCTGAAAGCCTTGGAACAGAACGCTCGCGATGAGGCTGCTGGCATCTATGACGACGGTGGGATAAATTAGAATATTTTTAGCAAAAGTCGTATTTTTAAAACAGATTAGATACGGACATAAACTATTTTCATTATTTCACAGGTTCTTACACCGAAAATAAATACGCTGCCGACAGCCAACAACAGTACTACGACAGCAACGCCCAAGCCATCAACTATAACAGCGCCCAGTCCAACAACTACAACGCTCAGTCCAACAACTACAACAGTGCCCAGTCCAGCAACTACAACGCTGAGTCTAACAACTACAACAACGCTCAGTCCAACAACTACAACAGCGCCCAGTCCAGCAACTACAACTCTGAGTCTAACAACTACAACAACGCTCAGTCCAATAACTACAACAACGCTCAGTCCAACAACTACAACAACGCCCAGTCCAACAACTACAACGCTGAGTCTAACAACTACAACGCTGAGTCCAACAATTACAACAACGCCCAATCCAACGACTACAATGCTCAGCGCAAAAACTACAACAGAGCTCAGTCAAACAACTACAATGCTCAGTCCAATTACAACACTGCTCAGTCCGACTACAACGCTCAAGCCAAATTCAACGCTCAATCCAACTACAATAATGCTGACACTACCAGCGCCCTAATTCGCAACGATGCTTCAGGAAGCAGCAACAATGCTAATGCAGTCCAGAAGGCTTACCTTCTACCCTTCGCTCAGGCTAACACTGACGCTATTGTAACCAACAATGCTCTTCTCCGCAATGATGCAGTTGGAAGCAGCAGTTCCTCCGTTTCAGGATTCCAGAGAGCATACCTCCCACCCGTTGCCCAGCGTCAGAGGAATGGTGCGAGGCCATCCTTCAACGCTAGAGACGGCTACCGTTACTAGAGGCTATTATCGATAAATATAAACGACTTATTAAAATAATGTATTTATAACAAATATTTTTTGGCTTTTATTTGATAGTTATCATATTTTTGGCTTCCTTCGGTACCCATTCAATATCTTTTACAAGTATCTGAGAGAAACAATGATTCTAGTAAAAAGTAAATTCTATGAGATAATTATACTTTGTGTTTTGTTTTTCTTTTATAATTGAAGTAGACTTTCTTTGAGGTTGGGTAAAAAGCAGTAAAATATAAAAAAACATAATATAGTGGTATTAAAAACTATTATTGTGTAACTGATAAGCATCTTGCACTAGATACTACTAGAAAAGTTTTATCAAATACATACGTTAATGGTAAATTATTTAACTTTTATGGCCATGACAAATAGCCAGTACCCAATTCCAAGACCTCCTGAATATGCGGTTTCAGAGAAGTATGGTAACTAACATCATTGTGATACAAGAATTTTATATTTAAGAGGCAATTTGTTACTGAAACGGATCTAATCGAAATTTCGTGGAAAAATTGTAGAAGGATATCAAACTATAAAACACACGGAGATTTTTATTTAAAATATGAGTGCATATCATTTTACACTTAATAAAAAATATATTCAATTGTTATGTATAAATGCTCTGCTTAAAGCTAGCTGATGTTAATGATAATTTTATTTATTATTTTTTATATTGTCTTGGCTTTAAAAGAGACTGCTCAAGCTGGGCACTTCACTAATGTATGCAGCGCCATATCGTTGTGGCAATCACCACATTGGTGGCATTTAGAAGTCGACTCCCGGCGTATGCGACACAGGTTCTTCCCGAAACACCTATATCTGGTAAGTTCGAAGAAGGTGTTAGTCGGAAGCTGAGAGCACCGTGGTTACTGTTGAGCCACTCCTCTAGAGCGGGAGCCAGTCACTCCCTGCCTTTTAATCCGTATATATCACTAATGATCAGGAACAGGGACCACAGTTATTATGTCGACTAGTCCATCTTCTTTCGGGACCTCGTACACCTTAGAAATTTCCAGTGAATGGAAAAAAACACAGAATATTTTTAATAAATTAATTTTGATAAATTGAATACACATAATATAATTATGTAAAAATGCGTTAGGCATAATCAAAAAGTAGTGGACAACACGACAGTCGCAGCAACTGGGCAACTAGTTGTCGAGTAACGTGTTGGGGCTTCAGTTCTTGCATGGAATAATAATTCATTTCACCTACTCAAAATTCATTTGAATTCTCGGTTGAAGTATCAACCGAGAACAACAATTTTGCTGTTCCGGGTCTGGGTGTGATGTGTATGTAAAATTGCATGTTTTTTTCTGGGTGAATTCAGTATCCCGTAATTTTAACAAGTTTTTATACATTTAATTCAGTATTTAGTGCATGATATACATAGTTAGGTACTGACCTGTAAGAGATAACTACACTTGATCCGATTTGAATAAACGTAATCCATAATAATTGTTTCATTGTAATCAATTGTTGCTGAGTTATAAATAAATAAATAATGGCAAACAAAACATGGGAGCAAAAGAATAGTAGGGGACATCGTTTCTTTAGGGAAAAAAGTATAAAAAGTTCAAATTTGAAAATTTATAGTCTTTGGTCAAAGAATATTTTAAGTTTTTAGAATATTTTTTTATAAGTTTTAAGAATATTTTAAATTGCCAAAAAAACATTAAGATTTATATCCTAAAAATTTGTTCCTATTACACAAAAAAAAAACAAATAATACGTGCAAAAAATATAAGTGTTATAATGTTTATCAAATACAACAAAGAGTCCAAAGGAAGCTATCCTCAATCAGTCCTACTATCACATCAACAATCATTTTTGAAAAGTTCTTCGAATGACCTTGCTACCGCCTATTTCATGGTACTGATACACGTCCACGCCAGTGAGCTGGTCAAGGTGAACTAATGTTTCCGGCAATTGCGTTACAGTTATTGACCCATCTGCTTTTTGCGCGCATCACGACTTGGAAATTAAAAACCTTATGAACATTAGGCAAGGCACATATATTTTTATTGGGTCCCACAAATACTTTCTTGAAGGACTCGAATGGAGTATGGAGAAATCCGATCGATTAGTTGAAGAATTTATCGGTGTAGTCACGATGTGCAGTTAGAAATGTTTGATTTCGATTAATAAGAAAAATCTTTTCTTATTTACTTAAATGGGAATGAATATCCGTTTGTTTCTTGTCTGCAATTTACGCCAAAAGGAAGCAACGCAACAGTGTGATTTTTTTACATTTAGTTTGTTGAAAGAATTATATATGATATAGGCTACAAAATTGTCTCCTCCTAATAGCCCTTCATGCCTAAAATACGTAGGGTATGTAAGTTCAGCAGAGCAGTCCAGTAACATTTTTGTAAGTATGGTATATTAACGGTGTAAAAATTTTCCTACAACCACTTAAAAGAGGGGTTTAAAATTTTATTGACACTTTACAGGGTAGAGAGCTCAAAATACACAATATAGTATTTGAAACTCAATACTCTTAATTTTCAACAAAAAATAACCGGCTTCTTTTATTCAATCCTCCTGAAGTGCAATTTAAAATGTTTACAGATAGGACTAAAATAGGGGATGTAAATTTGTGCCAGACTTTTGACAAAAGTAGGTTTAGATTTTATAATAGCAATAAACAGGGGCATCATATAAAAAATAATTGTTTTATGAATAACTAGCTACTCTCGCGCGGTTTTACCCGCTGCTCGGCTACATTTAATCGTAGCGTGATGTTTTATAGCCTATAGCACTCATGAACATTTTAGCTATCTATCAGTCAAAGGATTTTGACAATCCGACCAGCGGTTCCAGAGATTACCCTCTACATACAAACTTACAAATTTTATCTCTTTATAATATTAAGTATAGATGGAAAGAAAACATCATGTCGGTAAGGAAGTTGCGAGTACAAACAAATAAATAACATAAATTGGTGTTGTCAGCAACAGGTAACTATTATAAAGGTAGAAGGGGGCTTCTAAGAACTTGCTATAAAAAATAGAAATAGAAATATGGTCCGAAACAAATGTTTGATACATAAAATGTAACAGATCTCGTCGGAATCAATCCATCACATGAGATAGCAGAAGATTTATGTTTGTTTTAGTCTGAATTACGTCTTCCTTGCAAATTATCATTATACATAATATTATCTAACATACCTTTTATGCAGATATTATGACATAATACATCTTATCAAAAGCTCCACTTTATAATAAATTCTACCTTCCTAATGCTAACACTTTCTTACAATGTGACCACACCTAAGGTCAGCCACAAATAAACAAGTTCATCCTCGAGCATCATACGCTCATTAAGAAACATTGGCCGCTACTTACGATGTAATTGATGGATTCGCACCTCACTATAAATACTGTGATAACGATCGTGGGTTATCAGTTGCACTCACAGCTTCTGGGTAGCAAGTTCTGTACAACACAAGAACACAAAATGAAATTGGTGAGGTTTTATCTGGAGTAAATAAGTGTGAATTGAATATTAAGTTCATCATTAAATAACTTGACCGTATTTTTCATTTTCAGTTTATCATCTTAGCCGCTGTTGCTTTGGCTCAAGCCGCCAAATTGGACAGGACCTACCTCCCACCTAACGCAGATGCCTCTGATGGATCTGCCTTCCTTCAAACTCCTCGTCAGTCTCACGGATTCCAGGGTCAAACTGGTGCCTTCTCATCCAACTCCAACGCCCAGAGTGGAGCTTACTCAGGCTTTGAAGCCCGTCCCGTAGAGCGCGCTCAGGCTGCCTTCGAGAGGAACGCTGCTATCCTTCGTCAGGACAATTCCAATGATGGCGAGAGTTACGCGTATGCTTATGAGACTGAGAACGGTATCTCCGCAGAGGAGAACGGAGTGGCGACCAACGGAGTGCAGGCTCAGGGTGGATACTCCTACACCGGGGATGATGGCAAGGTCTACTCTGTGAGGTAAGCATTATCCAAAATTGGACTTTCAACACTCCCGTTATCTTAATTATACAAACTATCATCATTTGTCACGTTACAGATACACCGCTGATGAGAACGGTTTCCAACCTCAAGGTGACCATCTCCCCACTCCTCACCCCATCCCTGAAGAGATCCTGAAGGCTCTTGAACAGAACGCTCGCGATGAAGCTGCTGGTATCTTTGACGACGGTAAGTAATTGTAACAAAAATATCACTATTCAAATGACATGACATTAAAAGTAAATACTTTTGATGGTATATATAATAACTTTTTATATCATTGTTTTACAGGATCTTACAACGAGGCTAAATACAGTCGCGACTCTCAGCAAACTTACTACGATAACAACGCCCAAGCCATCAACTTCGACAACACTGACGCTGTTGTTGTCAACAATCAGAGGAGTGGTGTGCAACAACCCGCATTCAACAGTAATGCTCTTAGTGCTGCCCAAATTTCCAGCTCTGCTGCTGGAGTCCAGAAAGCGTACCTCCCCCCCTTCGCGCAGAAGGCTGCAGCGAGACAATCCTCCTTCGATGCTAGACCCGGCTACCGTTACTAGAGACTGATGTAAATTATTGTACATATCACAATCATTGTTACTCAATAAAGTATTTATTTGAACACAATGTCTGCTGATTCATTTCGTCCTTTCCTTTTGCCGCTTTGGGTTCATGGTGGAAAACACAACTGTCATTTTAATAAAAAAAGATAATAATAATAAAGAGTTTGATAACTCTTGAAATGGTTATCTTTACCTTGGGAAACTCCATAGTAAAGCAAAAAACTCTCTCAGACTACTGATTTTCCGAATGACAAAAATATTTTTAGTATGATTTTATCCCTCATCACAATAGAGTAACAGTTACTGTGTAACCGCCAAACTCAAAGTCTTTAAATAGTTACTTAACCTCTTGTCTGCCGGTATGTGAGACACAATGTGGACAGAAAACACTGTGTCTCACCTATATCTGCGCTCCGGCTGTCAAAGATTAAACCAGTCATTAGCAATTGTTTTAGAAAAACTGAAAATAAGGAATAGTGTATAGTGTATAGTGTAGTGTGTATGTAGTGTATAGTGTCGAATGTCTCTGAGTGCGGCAATGCTATTGGAGCAAACAAAGATTTTTCATTCCGAATTTATTTCGTATACCCGGTTTAATTGCGACATTTACATATTCGCGTTAAAAAAGAACGTTGCCCCACTTTAGGATTTTCTCCTGTGTTGTGGGTGCGTTTACAAACATACAATGTCACATACACATGACACCCAGACCCGAAACAACAATTTGTGGATCACTCAAAGTGTTGTCCCGTGCGGGAATCGAACCCGCGACACGTTGCACGGCAGCCAGTTGCCCAGCCACCGCACCAACCGTGCAGTCAATAAAGTACATTTCAGTGTAATGTTGAACAGAGCCCATTTCTGAAATCATTTCTATATCATAGGAACTGAAAATTACCCTATAATATGGCGTCTAATTTGCTGTTATTGTTTTTGTATCGCTAAAATTAATGACACGGTCACCTACAAATCTTTTAGTATAATAAAAAAATAAAAAACAGATGAATGAAAATGATTTAATTTTGTTGATCATAGGTAGGTAGGTACTTTTTAGTTACAGATAATGTTGGTACCCTTAATTGAACGCTATGTCAAGCCATCACCGGCATACAAATGTTTTTTTTTCAAACAAAATACGCACTTAAATACCAAATAAAATTAAAATTGCGAGGAACCTCAAAAAATCTATTAATTGTAAAATAATCCAAAATAAAAAAAATTACAATGCATATAGGTATTTGTTAACAGTATAATATGATTTTACAAATAAAAGTTTAAGTAAGGCTTAAGTAAGTTTAAAACTATGAGCATCACTTTTTTCTTTAATTGATCTAGGGATCTCATTATAGATCCTAGGTAGGAAGGAACCCACACACTTAGTTTTAAGTCAAACTTCCATAGTGCACGGTGACTAAGATGCATCCAGTTGTGCAGTTTCTTTGTGCCTTTATAGCTTGAGGAATCCTGTCTCCAGCAAAAAAAAAACATAACTGATTACTATTTCGTTAATATCTAGTCTTTTAGAAATACGGGAGGTTTAGGAATTGGAAAAAAAACATCGTGCTGCTTTTTGAAGCCGACAAGGTCAAAGTCAAGGATTATAGTTAATAAATTATTAATTTAGTTATTATGACAAGGGAGGCTCACAGCGTATGTATACAAAGACGTTAGAAGTATTCGTTATAGTTACAGTCTCAGTCCCTACAGTCTCTACAGTCAGTAGGTCTTATACTTTAGCCAGAAGAATGACTCGATAGAAGATTTATGTTTATTCTGGTCTTTATTACACACACACACATATCTAAAATACCATATTATTCTATGCAGATATTATGGTATAATACATCATATCGTAAGCGTCACTTTGTACGAAATATACACGTCTGCATCCGCAAATAAGGAGGATGTTCACCTCCAGGAAAACAGAGATGATTAAAAGTTAGGACAACACATCGCTATTCAGCAATGTTTCCAGTAAATGAGGCAAAGGCCAAAATAACCAACATTCTGAAGGACATTGATTTATCTACTGGTTACACTGACTGTGTCCATAATTGCCTCAATTCGGGTTATTTCCTGTGGAGAGGTAACTATTATAAGGGGTGACAGGGGTCGCATTGGGATCGCCTCTAGCCCTAGTGGTGGCAAATATATACATGGCTTGATTTGAGCGTCAAGCATGAGCCTCTGCCCAGTACAACCGCAATTTGATGAAGATACGTTGATGGTATATTCGCTATCATCAACCAGAAACTTGTGGCAGAATTCGTGGAAACTTGAAATCAGTGCACAACAAGGAACAGTTCAGAAGAGAGAGAAGGGATGTTACCGTTCTTAGATGTCCTCGTAAGATGGTCGATTGTCACACTTATTAAACTGCAAACCGACACACACCGTCTGGTACTTAGGAGCTGACTCACACCATCGTGCATCCCATTTATCCACTTATTTTTGAAGTCAGTTGTCTTCTAGTCTTTTTTTTTAATGTAATAGGTCGGCAAACGAGCAGACGGATTACCTGATGGTACGCAATCAGCGCCGCTCATGGACACCCGCAACGGAGGAGTTACGAGTGCGTTGCCGACCTTTTAGGGATTAGAGATTTGGAGATTTAGGAACTGGGGAGGGATTAGGGAAGGGGAAGGATTAGGCCTCCGGTAACCTCACTCACACGGCGAAACACAACACTGGTTGTTTCACGCCGGTTATCACCACTCCGGTCGAGCCGACCCATTCGTGCCGAAGCATGGCTCTCCCACACTTCAAGGCTCTCCCACACTTAACTAACTCTAACAGTATTCACCGATTAATTTCGTAAAAATTTTCAAAATAAACGAAATTAAACTGGAACTTCAGTGTTTCTGTGTTTTCATTGATGTTTCTAGTCTAATTTTTAGTTTATACTCGACGAAAAAAGTATAAATTTGTGAATTTTAATATTTCCTTTTGGAGAATTGATTTTTAAAACAGACTAGCCATTATGGTTGAAATCGATAACGAGACTTTACTAATATAAAATATAATAAAAGTACATTATGTTATAATTATTTATCACACATTACATTACATAAATATCAGCTCTACTTTAAAATCAATACCACCTTCCTATTGCTAATATACTTTCTTACAATGTGACCACACCTAAGGTCAGCTACAAATAAACAAGTTCATCCTCGAGCATCATACGCTCATTAAGAAACATTGGCCGCTACTTACGATGTAATTGATGGATTCGCACCTCACTATAAATACTGTGATAACGATCGTGGGTTATCAGTTGCACTCACAGCTTCTGGGTAGCAAGTTCTGTACAACACAAGAACACAAAATGAAATTGGTGAGGTTTTATCTGGAGCAATTGAGTTTTAATTAATTATTAAGTTCATCATTAAATAACTTGACCGTATTTTTCATTTTCAGTTCATTGTCTTAGCCGCTGTTGCTTTGGCTCAGGCCGCAAAATTGGACAGGACTTACCTCCCACCAAACGCGGAAGCCTCTGCAGGATCTACCTTTCTCCAAACTCCTCGTCAATCTAACGGATTCCAGGGACAAACCGGTGCCATCTTACCTAACTCCAACGCCCAGAGTGGAGCTTACTCAGGCTTTGAAGCCCGTCCCGTAGAGCGCGCTCAGGCTGCCTTCGAGAGGAACGCTGCTATCCTTCGTCAGGACAACTCCAATGATGGCGAGACTTACGCGTATGCTTATGAGACTGAGAATGGTATCTCCGCCGAGGAGAACGGAGTGGCGACCAACGGAGTGCAGGCTCAGGGCGGATACTCCTACACTGGGGATGATGGCAAGGTCTACTCTGTGAGGTAAGCATTATCCAAAATTGGACTTTCAACATTCCCGTTATCAAAATAATACAAACTAACATCATTTGTCGCGTTACAGGTACACCGCTGATGAGAACGGTTTCCAACCTCAAGGTGACCATCTCCCCACTCCTCACCCCATCCCTGAAGAGATTCTGAAGGCTCTGGAACAGAACGCTCGCGATGAAGCTGCTGGCATATTTGACGACGGTAAATAATTGTAACAAAAATATCACTATTCAAATGACTTGACATTAAAAGTAAATACTTTTGATGGTATATGTAATAACTTTTTATTGTTTTGCAGGATCTTACAACGAGGCTAAATACAATCGCGACTCTCAGCAAACTTACTACGACAACAACGCCCAAGCTATCAACTTCGACAACACTGACGCTGTTGTTGTCAACAGCCAGAGGAGTGGTGCGCAACAACCCGCATTCAACAACAACGCTCGTAGTGCTGCCCAAATTTCCATCTCTGCTGCTGGAGTCCAGAAAGCGTACCTCCCCCCCTTCGCGCAGAAGGCTGGAGCGAGACAATCCTCCTTCGACGCTAGAGCCGGCTACCGTTACTAGAGACTGATGTAAATTATTGTACATATCACAATCATTGTTACTCAATAAAGTATTTAATTGAACACAATGTCTGCTGATTCATTTCGTCCTTTCCTTTTGCCGCTTTGGGTTCATGGTGGAAAACACAACTGTCATTTTAATAAAAAAAGATAGTAATAATAAAGAGTTTGATAACTCTTGAAATGGTTATCTTTACCTTGGGAAACTCCATAGTAAAGCAAAAAACTCTCTAAGACTACTGATTTTCCGAATGACAAAAATATTTTTAGTATGATTTTATCCCTCATCACAATAGAGTAACAGTTACTGTGTAACCGCCAAACTCAAAGTCTTTAAATAGTTACTTAACCTCTTGTCTGCCGGTATGTGAGACACAATGTGGACAGAAAACACTGTGTCTCACCTATATCTGCGCTCCGGCTGTCAAAGATTAAACCAGTCATTAGCAATTGTTTTAAACTGAAAATAAGGAATAGTGTATAGTGTATAGTGTAGTGTGTATGTAGTGTATAGTGTCGAATGTCTCTGAGTGCGGCAATGCTATTGGAGCAAACAAAGATTTTTCATTCCGAATTTATTTCGTATACCCGGTTTAAT